TGGAGGAGAGACACTCTGACACTGGGAAGAGCATCAGAGGAGTGCAGATTCAAAAGGTGGAGAGATGGAGAAGGTCCACTCTATCCACTGAAGAGCTCTGTCACACAAGGGTCACTATACAAGCACTCTCTGGGAACATGTCGCTGAGAAGGTGACCGTGATGTGACAGTCGACTGCGTTGGAAAGCTCTGGGCCATGAAGTAAAGAAGTGATAAAATGATAGCACTTCTTATACAAATAGCGACCTGAATGAAGTATGTTTTGTGAGATTGTACAGTACAAGAGATAATTAAAATTGTATCTTTTAAAGGTCATGTTAAATACATTAGACATACAGTGGATTATTGTTTCTCATACGATTTTGTTTACGATACAAATTAATGTATAAATCAATATTGTTGTGTACATTTTTCCCACATCTTTCCACAGAGCACATATAGGGAATGACTATACAATGCTTAAAATAAAACATAATTGATTTTACTACTTCTTTATCACCAGGAAGCCCGTTACTCGGTAATGTACATTCTTCAGCCCTAATAGCCTTTATTATGTTAGTGATGTAGTGCCCCCTGTCATAGCTGTCATATCCAGTCCCTCACCTCCTCACCAGGGGCCCGAGATGGACTGCATATCGTCAAGTCATGGCACACTGTGGAGGCACATGCTATCACGCAGCTTCTGTCTCTTTAACTGGGGCAACAGAATATGGATGGGAAGCTTACAGAAATAAACCAGGGCAAAGAAACAGAACCATATTTCGCATTCTTGATTAAGACTACACCAGCTAAGTTAAAGTATCATCATTGACCAAAAGTACGCTCTACTGTACGTTTGTGATAGTATTACAACAACACACTAGGCAAACCCTCTGATGTAACACATACCATATTTTTTAAATGATAGAAATATGCAATTAGTGTCGGTAAAGGTTTGTCTGAAACTGATCTAAAATGTCTTCACAAACTGCTTGAATATTTAGATTCATCCCACCAAATGAACTAACGATTAGAAATTCTTGAGAACCTGTCTTAAGCACTTACTGTATACTTTTACAGGACTTTTAAGGAAATTTGATTGCCGAACTCATCCATCGCAGGCTGAATCTACTCTGGCTGTTCACCACGATCTATCAAACATGCACTAATTTGGTTTCGTTTAGAGTCTAGACAGTTCGGTTTGGATCCGAGACAGTATGCAGACAGCGGGTACAAACTGTATATTTTTCGGCTAGACCTTAAACAACAGTGTATCTACTTCTGCTGCATCTGTGCCATTTATCTTGGAATGAATACTGTTTTATCAAGTGGATACTCAAAGCAAAATCTTCCTTGTGACAAAGAGGCACCGATAACAATAGGAATAATACCATGACATGATAAATTGCAGTAATGATTGAGCTTTGTGTTTAGTTCTCCGAAATCAGGTGAGATTCCTGCCGTCGGAAGAATTCTCGTGTTGCCTATATGCCAGACCAAGCGTAGGCAAAACTTTTTCTTCAGTGTCACTCTTTATAATGTCAATTGATGAAATAGCTACACATTGACAAAATTACTTATTACTCTCTCTTCACCCTCCCTTGAATTCATCAGGGTTGCCTTCAACATTGCCGTCACCTCCTGGCGCTTGTCACGCTTGTCAACCTTACACTGCAACGTGACCTTGAGACATACACCAAGGATGGAAGGTGATGGTGCTCTCCTTTCAGCTACAATGGAACCCAGCAGAAGAGCGAAGTCATATGTAAAAATGTAAGTAAGCTCACACTGCGTTCACAAAGCAGCAGTGAAACCTGCTTATGGAACAAAGGGTGCATGGGAGCTCTGTGCTGATCCACATCAATCAAACCAGGATTAGAATGCCTCTTTCTGCTTTCTTTTCCAAAGTAAAGTTGAATATGCTGATGTAATAGCAGTCTAACCTAAGATCAAGAGTATGTGAGAGAAAAACCTTCACAAATATATATATACTTGGATACAGAGATCTGACTTATAACTTTATACCACTTTGTATATACGGGGATAGATAGGTTTAATACCATACATTTTACCTCTTCAAAAGGAGGTTTAGGTCTGTATCATTGACCTGAAATGACATAGTGTAGGGCGCTGTCTGTAAGTAAGTAAGTAAGTAAGCTTTTATTTATATACCGCCTTTTCACTGCACATCGGAGTCTCAAAGCGGTTTACAATTGTTATTTTTTTGGGAGTGCCAGTACAGGAGGCACATGCCATACCTATTGTACATATTTTTAGTGGTAGGGGAAACCGGAGCACCCGGAGAAAACCTACGCAGACACGGGGAGAACATGCAAACTCCACTCAGAAAGGCCCTGGTCCAACCGGGATTTGAACCCAGGACCTTCTTGCTGAGAGGCGAGAGTGCTATCCACTCAGCCACCGTGCCGCCCTGTAGGATCCTCCCATCCTCCCTGTAAGAGGAACAATTACAAAAGTGATGCATTCCTTTTTAATCGTACTAGAAATGTAACGTATAATCTCCCTTGTATTGCCCACATAAACATAAGTAGCTTTTGATGTTGGACATAGCGCGAGGTATGCCATGTGCACACCTTACATGGGCAAATAGGGAATGTTGTGAAACTGAATTATCTCTATGTCTACAGTATGAGTTTTTTGGGCGGAGTTTCTAGAAAAGTGAGCATTTGTTGTCTCTGTCCCATTTTGGACACAGCTGTTTTGCTCCAGCACCTGAGCTTTGCCTGGGCTTGTTCACTGGCAGCGGACTGAGCCAGCACAAACCTCTTCTCTGCTTCACACCAATCCAAAACGGAATAGCGCTTGTCCCATCAGGCATCACCTCTTCACATTCCCTACTATTTCATTATCACTGTGTCTTCTGTACTTCTTCAACAGGAGAAAGGAATCAATTCATGTAAGATGAAAGTAGTTACGATCAGATTATTTGAGTTGGGCGTTCATGGCAGTCACGTCCAGTGGTACATATAGGTGGGAATATCGGGCCAATGCCATTTGCATACAAATTGCCCAGCTGGTACCTTGTTGTTATGACAACGGCCCACAGCTCCCAGAATTCATTTGGAAGTGAAATACCAAAAGGAAGGCTGTCAGGGAGGTGTCATTGTGCTTTTTGAGACTTTTATTAAGTGGCACTCAAGCAGTGAATTAAGATTAGGGCTGAAACAACTAATCGATTAATCAACGACTAATCGATTATTTAAATAGTCGACAACTATTTTAGTAATCAATTAATCGTTTTCTGGTTCACACGGACTCAAACAGAGCAAAAATGACATGAAAATGTAGTATTTTTGATTAAAACCGACTTTGTTTTTATAATTTCATGAATATCTGTCAGTCTCATCCAATCAGATAGCAGAATTAGCACAAAGAGCCTGTTACAAACATTTACTTTACGTTTACGCCATCAATACGTCCTCGAGTGTTGCCACTTTAGCTTTTTGTGATGAAAAAAAATTTTTTTTCTACACAATTCACAGCCAAGCGATTACTCGATTGATCGTAAAAATAATCGATAGATTAATCGATTACAAAATAATCGTTAGTTGCAGCTCTAATTAAGATTATTTATTACTCTTCTGTCAGGGGATCTGATTACAAAATATGCTTTAAACAATTCACAAAGAATCTCAATAAATCATTAACTTTTGGCAATTGTCTATTTTATAGATTGCATTCATATTCTATAATGATATTTCAGTTTGAGGGCAGGTGCCAATACAATGTTGAAAAAGATGTCCAAATGTCCTATTATTTAATTAGGATTAGATTCACAAACCTTTCATAATATTCTCCTTTCCACTGGCCAACATCATTTAAAAAATCTTGTTACCACTTCTGGACACCTTTTTGAGAAAATCTTTGACAATAATTGATTATACTGACAAAGTGCTGTATACAGTATATATTTTATATATTTTTTCTCATGAAGATTGCCAGGGAATTACAGAGAATCATCTGAACTAGGTCGAGAAGTCTGACTTTTGACAGTTACCGTAGTTCTGTCCTCCACCACAATGTTAAACTATTAATTCTTTGGAATCGTGTGATGTCTCTGAAACGTAACACATTCACATCTATTTCATCTTACATTCTACACCCAAAATATTATGTTGTTTGATAACCTAATTTTGCACCAAAACATGCATTCCTTCTACCATTGTGACATGCGTATTGAAACACATCCTGTCTATATTTAAACCTGGATCACACCATTTATTCTTTCTTTGCCAGGGAAGCACTACAGTACAGTTGCACACTTGCTACAGTTACAGCAGCTTTTCTCTAAACCCACCCTTGTCAAATCCTCTCTGAGCTCAGGGCTCAAATGTCCCACTATTTTGAAGGCACAGTGACCTCTACTGGCCACACACGGCACAGAGCTTTCACTCATGGACGTCCTCTCCCAAAACCCATTATAGAGAATTCAGCTCAAGGGCAAGTGTTGTTTTTGCCATTGTCATCCTAGCTCAGCGGATAGTAGTAGCTTGGATGGGTATTCCTAGACCTCCTGACCCTCATGTTTAATATTTAACTGTTGTGTGTGGTTGTCAGGCTAAACACTTGTAAAGAAACACCACTTGACTTAGTTCCCAGATGCCTAAGATCTTGTACACATTAAACAACCGTCCCCCATCCATACAGCTGTTACAGATTGATGGAGACAACTAGTACTGGCCACTTTAGTCTGGATTGCAAGGCTTTGGATCAGCAACAAATGCACGAGTGTCTACGTGTTGACTTGCACCCTTTACCTCAGGGTGGGAGCAGAGGGAAGGTGACACGTCTGCTGAATATAAATGCAGCTGAAGTTATGCTCTGAGGGATGACAGCGTGCACAATACTCGCCCAAGAACGTGCAACCTTTTCCCAAGGTCACAGCGCGCCGCCGGGTCCAGATCTCTCCCAAAGCAGCAGCAGCAGCAGCAGCAGCAGCAGCAGTAACAGCAGCAGTAGTAGCAGCACCCCTCTCATTTGTCACTTGCCATCCAATTTAACATGGCAACTCGATGGGGGCTGTGTGGGGCAGGGAAGATCAGCCATGACTTCAGTGTGGCGATGAAGACACTGCCTCCAGGAGACCATCAGGTATACTTTACACAGAAAGGCAATTTATTGAAGGCAAACAAAATCACCATAATTCATACAATGCAAAACCAAGACATTTTTTTTAACCCTTGTGCTTTTTGACTCAAGGGTAGCACAAGGGTTGGCCACAGTCACAGATGATCAAATGTAGAAGGAGAATCTAAGTTAGGTTTTATAATAAGGGCTGGTCAAAATGTAACCAATGGCACTACCAATATATTTAGGGTATTTTTTAATCATTGTGGTAGGTCAATTTGACCCAAGGAAAGCACAAGGGTTTTAATGGGTGAGGCATGGCACAAAGTAATGTATTATAAGGACATCTGACCAAGTGACTTTACTCTTATGTAGGTGCACAGTCTATGTCATTAGGTAGAGTATTCCATTGACAGGGAGCATGATGAAGTATATCTGATTCTCCTAATTCATTTTTACCTAGTGTCAGAGACTACGTACAAGTTCATAAAGCACAAGCAGATCAGAAATATAATAAATATGTTTTTTTTTCTGTTAATTTTTTCCCCTCCATTTTATTTGTTGTCATGTTATGTTGAGAACTGAAGGATTTTTGACTAATGGAATTCTCAAGGCAAAAATAAAAAAATCATAGTACATACAAAAATAAATGTATGGAGGTGGCGGATTGAGCTATGCAATCAAATAGAGCTACACCTACGATGACAAGGCAATTTTGAACACAAACTTGTAAATGTACTTGTAAAAGTAGGGTGGGCCTCCTTAGGCAATGCAATGTTATCACAGAACAGGATTAGTGAAGTAGTAAAATAACCTGTTGAAAGAAAGGCCTTGTATTTGTGAGTTTTCAAGGATTTGTATCTCCAAATCTTCCTGGCTCAAAATAAATAAAAACACAGCGTATTATTCCAAATGTGTGTTTTCATACAGATAGCAGTTGTGGCCTCAAGAAGCTTAGAGCGTGCCCAAGAATTTGCAAAGAAACATAGCATTCCGAAAGCTTATGGCAGCTACGAGGAGTTGGCCAGTGATCCAGATATCGGTGAGTTAGTTTGGCTCTTCATACATCTAAATCTTGTTTTATATGAAAGTCACATAACACATGGTTGTCCCATACAGACGTCGTTTATGTGGGAGTTCTTCACACACAACACTGGAAAGTCGGTCTGCTCTTCCTCAAAGCCAGCAAAAATGTGCTGTGTGAAAAACCCTTCGCTATGAAATGAACAGCAGACAAGTGCAAGATCTGGTCACCGAAGCTAAACAAAGAAATGTTTTTCTCATGGAGGTGAGTCATTACTACCATTACTACTTTTTTAAACTTTGAGTCATTTGAATTTAATTTCTAACCCTAGACCAGTGTTTTCCAACCGGGGTTACCATCCTGTCGAAAATCAGACTCACAGGCAGGGATCTTTGCACACCAGAGCAACCTGGAAGTTTATTCACAACAGGCAGTATATTCAGGCAGAACAATAAACAGGGAAACATTATATATTGAAATGTCATCATGAAAGAGCCAAACCCAGGCGTCAGTCAGCTCAAACAACGGATACACAATCGTAGCAGATACGCAATCAAAGTACATTGTGTATCTTGTACTTCTATTTTTTATCTTGTTTTTGTACTACTATACAGGCCATCACAGGCGGTACTTTCAATTATTTTCAAAACTTACAAAACATTGATAGCAGGAGGTAAATGTGGGCTACTATGGCAAGTTATACATACTTGTAATGCATTCTAAATGTCTCCGTAAAACAACCATATCATTTATTTTATTATTTAAAAAAAACTCTATTCTCTTTTAAAACCTATGGCACAATTGTAAATAATAAATGATAAACAGAAATATCATTTCATAATAGTTCAAGCATTGTACTCCATTTGTTGTAATCTAAAAAGTCAAGTTAAATAAAAGCAAGAATGCTCTATCCCAAGTCGATCCAGTTTGCACCATAAAGGAGGCCGTACTGGTCCAAAACATGTTGGTGTCTATTTCAAATCGGGCTAATTATTATTTTTTATTATTTTTATTATGTAAGTGCAGTTTTTTGGCTGTATAATCATCTCAGATACAGATTTCACTCAGGACTTCACTTTTTTTTTCCTCAATCAAGTTTTCAGCTCTCAGTGGAATATTTAAATTGTGGGTTTTGGAATTACAATTGATTTTAAAAAAGGTAATTGCTGTAAGCGTTATACTTGTCTGGGACAATTTATGCTGTATGTTTTTCCTCTATGTTAGGTTAGTCAATCTTAGTTTGTAAATGCAAACACTTGTGAATTGCAGGCGATTTGGTCTCGTTGTTTCCCAGTGCACGCCGAGGTGCGCAAGCTGCTGGCGGAGGAGGCGGTGGGAGAGGTGAAGATGGTCAAGGCGTACTTTGGCTCTCCTCAGCTGCACATTCCCCGCTCCGTGGAGAAGGAGTTAGGAGGAGGGGCTCTGCTGGACATCGGAGTGTACTGTCTGCAGTTTGTGCTCATGGTGTTCAGAGGAGAAAGGCCACTGTCCATCCAGGCCAGCGGCGTTCTGTTAGACTCAGGTAGACTGCAGAACAGATCAGGTTCATTTTATTTTGCCATTTGCAGTAAAACCACATTATAAAACATGTGCAAAAGTACCCCAGTGTGCACCAGACAAATAAAATAAGCTAAAACGTACAAGAAACAATTGTCTCGGTGAAATCAAGAAATAATTTTAAAGGTGTCTTTTGGTGATAGTTTTCTACCCGTTGGGAGATGTGGCTTTGTGTATTGAAAATATATAATTATGAGACATTGCTTTGTACAAACTGTTCTAAAACTTGAAACATATACTGTACATTCTGACTATGAGCTGGGTTATGTCTCTGCAGATTTAAAGCTGGTGTACCCAACTTTTAAACCACGAGAAATTAAAATACACACAGCCTCTGTCACATCTTCAGATCAGCTTTGTAAGATAGAGAAAAGAGCTCCTATAGCCCAAAACGACAAATAGTGACTTACAGGGTTCTGATTTGTTCACATTTTATCTTTACAAGACTCCCTCTGTTGCGACTATGGGGGTTGGTACAAACAAAATTATTTACGAACGAAAAAGTGGGTAGCCCAGTTTTAAAGGACCATTTGGAATTATAGATAGAAATGATCATTCTTTCTAACAAAAATTTTAAAATATGTTCTTTTAGGAGTGGATGAATCCGTGGTTGTGGCATTGAAGTTTTCCAGGAACAGAATGGCCTTCTGTGCCTTTTCAATTTCTGCCCGTCTTCCAAATGACGCTGTTATCTGTGGAACTGAGGGCTCCATTAAAGTAAGCAGGGATGATTAAATTCTTAACCAAGGACTGAGACATACTGCAACTGGGGAGCCTGCTAATTACATTCATTTTTAATTAAATTGACACATTCACAGAAAGAGAAAAAACTCCCATATCACTAGCTATTATCTAGTCCATTTTACTTCCATGATAATTTATATTATAACCTATTTCCACAGGTCCTTGGGCCAATGCACTGTCCAACCACACTGGTGGTTAATGACAAACAGGCTGAATATCCTCTGCCCGAGCCCTGTATGCCCGTGAATTTCACCAACAGCACAGGACTGCGCTATGAGGCCCAAGAAGTTAGACAGTGTCTTCTTAAAGGTACATGAATGCAATATCTGTTCACAATTAGTATACTGTATATCGTGATACATTTTATTTTAAACCATGTATTTGACCTGTCAGTGTTTTAAGATACAAGGTACACATGCCACGTTAACATTCTTCATGCTCTCTGGACACCACTGTATCACTTTCAGGAGAAAATCAAGGACCCCTCACATGTGTATGAAGTCTTACCTCCTACCTGTGGGTCATGGGGCCAACTCTACCCAAAGCTGACTGCTTGTTGAGTTTTGTCCTTTCTCAGTGTTTTGCCATTAGTTCAGTCAGTTTAATAGTAGTGTTTCAGGTGGTGCCTTTTACCAGAATATTTGATTTCATGTGTTTCATTTTAGATTGTATAACACTGGGGTCTGCCATTAATTGTCTCTGTGTCCCCACACAATGGCTAAAATGTATAGTTGAATCATAGACAACAAAGCTAGTGGCCTCGCACCAAAGAACATCTGTGACATGCTGCTAAATGAACCTGCTCGAACTCTGAGGAGCACAGGGACTGGCCTCCTGCTGGTGCCCAGGGTCAGGACTAAACATGGGGAGTCTTCCTGAAAATATGAGACAGGCTTCTTCTCTGACAGTTTTCAAATCCAGGCTGAACAGTTCTTTTTATCTGTGTGTACAACTGAGGGATTTTATCTTCACTCTTTTCAATGTACTGTGATTAGTAATGATTTGAATGACTTGTGAGACTTTCTTATCTTGTTTTGTTCAGCACTTTGAGTTGCCTTGTATATGAATTGTGCCAAGTGTGTGTGTGAAGAAATACATGTTGTAATAATGGCACGGTAAGTCTATACTGCCAAATGTCATCTCTCTGCCATGCTCAAATAACGTATGCAGAGTTTCATTATGGGCAAATATCCTTCTGGATCCATGTGCATGTGTCTTAACCTCATTAATACTGCTCTTTTTTCCCAGGACTGAAAGAGAGCCCTCTGATGCCGCTGTCAGAGTCTGTTCTGCTGACCGAGATCATGGATGAAATCAGGAAGCAGGTGGGAGTCGTCTTCAGCCAGGACAACCAATGACCGAGCTAATTGACCTGGTTTAAAGCAGTAAAAAATATCTTACTTCAAATGACGGACAATGCTTATTTTGTGCTCCTATAGGAAAAAGACAAAACTTTACTATACAGTTGAAGTAAACCTGTAAACATATTACAAATGATGAATTAGGAGACAAACTTAAAATAAAATAATAAGTGATTTGTGAAGCTGATAAATATTTGTGAGTCCATGCTTTTTTCACACACCTTGGTCTGAAATGCGCCAATAATGGAAAATAGAAACGGTCATATTTCTGGCACCAGAATTGAAGAAAAGAAACGAATCCAGTGAAAAAGAAGATGCTTTGACGCCCTCTTTTGACCAAACTGTGATACTACATCTAATTCCCTACTGGTCCCAGTCACGTGTGACATTCTGACGTCATGTAACACAAATTACTTTTCATGTCAATTGGGAAGGCAAGGCAAGTTTATCTGTAAAGCACAGTTTTATAATTGCATTTATTTGGCAACTGTTGATTTTAATTATTGAAACTGAATTATTTAATGAATGAATGAAATGTAACTAATAACTCCTGCTAAAAAGATTTATATTGTAAACAATATATTTAACTATTTTTTTCCTTTTTACCTATGTTTTAGGTCAGGTTTTTTCCCACTCCCTGAACACCCCCTAAGTATAGTACATGCATGCTCACCAATGTGATACTGATTTGGATGAAAGCTGATAAGATAAGATAAGATGTGCTTTATTTAGCTCACAGAGGAGAAATTTACATGTCACATTTGGCATGGATAGAACACTCAGATTGTGCAAAAGGAGGAAATGTGCAAACATGTTACATGCAGGATATATGTGCAATAAAAGTGACAATAATTATGTACAACAAAAGTGACAAGTGTCGATTGGAAACAGTGTCAATAGTAGTGCAGGTTTTCACACAGTGATCATTTAAAGTGACTTATTGTACAGTCTGACAGCGGTGGGGATAAAGGCCCTGCGGTAGCGCTCCTTCTTACACTGAGGGTGCCTCAGTCTTCCACTGAAGGAGCTCCTCAGCTCCTCTACAGTCCTGTGCAGTGGGTGGGAGGTATTGTTCATGATGGAGGTGGCTTTGGCTAGCACCCTTCTGTCCCTCACCTCCTCCACAGAGTCCAGGGGGCAGCCCAGAGTGGAGCTGGCCCTCCTGACCAGCTTGTTCAGTCTGTTTCTGTCCCGCTCTGTGCTGCCCGGGGCCCAGCACACGGCAGCGTAGTAAATGGCAGAATCTACTGTGAGATTTCATAACACTTTTAAGCAACTTTTGTTAAAGTTAAACTCATCAATCTATCAATGTGCAGAAGCCAGTACTTTTCCCTTGTTTTGTCTATCTGAAGGCCAAGCTACAAGCACACCGTGGAAGCTGCTGATTGGAGGTCTCAATGCCTCCGCTCTGTATAATACACTTGCATTCTATTGTATCTGTGATCGTGTGCTTTGTTTGTGCTGTCTCTACCATCGACAATAAAACATGTCTTCTGTCTGAATTTAAGACGCGATCCCAGACTATGCCATCTTCTTCACTACCACAGAGTAAAGTCCTGAGCAGGGGCCTGCTCACTCCGAAGGACCTCAGCCTCCTCAGAAGGAAGAGGCGACTTTGGCCCTTCTTGTGCAGGGCGTTTGTATTATGGGACCAGTCCAGTTTATTGTTAATGTGAACACCCAGGTACTTGAAGCTGTCCACCAGCTTAATGTCCTCCCCCTGGATGTTCAGCAGTGTGTGGGAAAGTGGTTTTCTCCTGAAGTCGATGATCATCTCCTTGGTCTTACTGGTGTTCAAGCACAAGTGGTTGCGCTCACACCAGTTGACAAAGTCCTTGATAACCGACCGATATTCCAGTTCGTTCCCCTCAGACACACAGCCCACGATGGCGGAGTCGTCGGAGAACTTCTGCAAGTGACAGCTGTGTGTGTCGTGTGTGAAGTCTGAGGTGTAGATGGTGAAGAGAAACGGTGAGAGGACAGTGCCCTGAGGGGCCCCAGTGCTGTAGACTACCACCTCAGACTCACAGCTGCGCAGCCGCACGTACTGTGGTCGGTCTGAGAGGTACCATGCAGTGAGGCTACTGTCCACTCCCGCGTCCTCCATCTTCCCCTGCAGCAGTGCCGGCCTGATGGTATTGAAAGCGCTGGAGAAGTCGAAAAACATGACCCTCACAGCACTCCCGGCGGGCTCCAGGTGGGAGAGCGTCCGCTGCAGGAAGTACAGTAGATGACGGCGTCCTCTACTCCGATGTTGGGTCTGTAGGCGAACTGCAGCGGGTCCAGGGTGGGGCTGACCACGAAGCGGAGATTCAAGGTCCCCATTCCTCCATGCTGTATAATATCACATGCATTCTTAGTCATTTTCTTCACTAATACATACAAACATATACTGTAAAAAAAGAAACAAAAAAATCTCACCTTTTGCTTTCCGCGGGCGGTTATCCCTCTTTAAGCTCGGGTCTTCTACCAGAGGCCTGGGGGCTTGAGGGTTCTGTGCAGTATCTTTCACATTTTTGGTGAAAGATACTGAACGGAGTGACTCTGGTCCGCGGCGTGTCTCACGTGGAGGTATTCACGGACGCGTCACTCGAGGGTTGGGGCGGGGTCCTCGGTCAGAGCTCCGTTGGAGGCTTCTGGTCGGACTCAGCCCGCCACATCAACCTTCTGGAGATGGAGGCAGTGCACAGGGTGCTGCTGCACTTTGCTCCTCAGCTGCAGGGGAGACACGTGATGGTTCGCTCAGACAAGACCACGATGGTGTCTTATCGGAACAGACAGGGAGGCACCAGATCCCCCGCTCTCCATCGCATGGCGACGGTGACGCTGCTGTGGGCGGCGCTTCACCTCCTGTCCCTGAGGGCGCGCCACGTCCCGGGTGCCCGGAACGTGGGTGCCGACAGGATGTCCAGGGGGGGCCCACTCCAGGACGAGTGGGGCCTGGCCCCGCGGATAGCTGCAGAGGTCTGGCGGAGATTCGGCCGTCCAGTGGTCGACCTTTTCGCCAGTGCAGAGAACGCACAGTGCCCGTCCTGGTTCGCCTTAGGGGCCGCGGACGAACCACCCTTAAGGGTGGACGCCCTGGCTTACTACCCCTGGTCAGGGGGCCTGCTGTATGCGTTTCCACCAGTTCGTCTCCTGCCGGTCCTACTGCGGAGGATCGAACAGGAGGGAAGGTCGGTGGTCCTGGTGGCTCCGGACAGTCTACATGCCCGGTGGTTCCCTTTCCTGAGGGGCATGGCGGTGATGGAGCCTTGGGCCCTCCCGGACGAGCCGGGGTCACGGCGGTTTCAGGGGGTTCACGGCCCATTCCCATCCGTTGGTCAAACGCTTTTTGCGGGGGGCCCGCAGGAGGAGGCCCCCGCTTCAGAGAACGCCCCCGGTTTGGGACCTCAGGGTGGTCCTTAGGGGTCTGTCGGGCCCGCCTTTTGAACCGGTGTCGGAGGCGAGTCCTGAGTGTGTGGCTTTTAAGACTGCCCTCTTGCTGGCGTTGGCGTCTGCTAAGAGGGCGGGCGACTTGTGTGCGCTCTCCGTCCATGCGTCTTGCCTGTCCTTTGGAGAGGCTGACGGACTGGTGGAGTTGTGGCCCAATCCGGCTTTTCTCGCTAAGGTCATCACTTCGGCCTTCAGGTCGAGAGTGATCAGGATTAGGGCTTTCCATCCGCCGCCGCATGCCTCCCCAGAGGAGGAGCGGCGGCACCTTCTGTGTCCTGTCAGAATGCTTAGGCGTTACCTGGCCATGACATCTTCCTTCAGGGTGGTTGATCAGCTGTTTGTGTGTCTGGGCCCCAAGAACAGGGGCGCCCCGCTGTCGTCTCAGCGGCTGGCGCACTGGGTCGCCACGGCTGTGTGGCGGGTGTATCAGGCTCAGGGCCTGGCCCCCCCGGTGGGTTTCAGGTCGCACTCCACGCGTGGGGCTGGCGGCCTCTACGGCCCTCCTCAGGGGGGCTTCGGTCGAGGACGTGTGCCGTGCGGCTTCTTGGGCTTCGTCCTCCTCTTTCGTCCAGTCTTACCTTTTTGGATGTGTCGGACCGGTCGGTGGCATATTCCGTGCTTAGTGCAACGGATTGAGTTGAAACCGTGAGGTTCCTCTTCTGAGGGGGTCTACAGTTGACTTGTCCGCCCTGGTTCAGGAGCTCTTGGGAGAGGCGTCCTGCAGGTGCGGTACGTGTGTGCTTTTGGTCAGTTAGGTAGCCTTCGGTCTGTGTTACTTGGGGGTGTCCTTGGGAGGAGTGGCCCTGTAACACGCAATTGATTATTCTTCTGCCCTGAGTCTTCTCACTGTGTGAGGGTCCTGCTTGGGCAGGAATCCAGTCACTCTTCGCTGGCCTGCTGGGAGTACATGTTCCTATACGGCCTCCGCGTTGTGTCCCACTAGCGAAGTCCTAAGGGACGTAGCACCATGACGTAGAATTAATAGTTACTTATATAACTTAAGTTCTACGAATAGGTGCGTAGTCCCTTAGCTACGAGCCCATCAGGCCAGCCCGGCTTGGCAGAGTTCAAAAGGGGGCACGGCCTTGTGCAGGGGCTTTCATAGAGGAGGGTCGCTAGTGATTGGAGCATATTTATATATATTTGATCTCTCTGGCGTGTGACCTGGGGGTCACGTGATATCCCACTAGCGAAGTCCTAAGGGACTACGCACCTATTCGTAGAACGTTAGTTACATAAGTAACTATTAATTTTACGATTTTGAAATTTCGGAAAGTATCGGCAGAAAGAAAATTACGACTGTGGTGTTTGGGTCAATATAAAACTACACTATATACAGGTAAAACTATACAAAATTCAGGTGATCCCAACTCCTTCCTCCAAGAGAACAAATCTTTTCTCAACCCCTGTCAGGAGCATCAGAATGGGTCAAATGCAGAGGATGAATTGCACAAATAAAATGCCGTCCTTGGACCCAGATGTCAATGCTCAGGACCACCGGAGCGCCTGGAGAAAATGGGAGCACTTGGAGGAAACCTATGTATACATGGGGAGAACATGCA